CAGATGCTCCAGTTAAAAAGTGGTTTAATTATTGAATTAACCTTTTCAAACCCTTATAGAATAGCCAGCCTATCCTCCCGAATTTTTTGTCCCTGTGGCTTTACATTTAGAACTTACTTTATTAATTTGCACCAGATCACCCCATAATCCTTGTCAACGAGTCCAGTGATCTTTTCTTTTTATTACCAACTTCTACCTTAATGACTGAGTCTTCTGTAAACATTTGGGTTTTCTTCCAAATTGTTGATAAAAATGTTAACCAGAGTATGCCCAGGGAGCTATCCTAGCAGAATTCCTGCTTTGTGATCATTCTTCATTTAAATTCATGTTTTGAAATGTCAGTTAACCAGTTTTCCATTCATTTAATGTGCGACATGTCAATTTCGTATTATTATGGTTTCTTAACTCAAATGTCATGAGTTCCACATCAAGTGTCATATAGAATCAAAGTATATCAACAGTGTTGTGTTTCACTTTTAGTCACAAATAATGGAAAAAAAAGTCAGCAAATGTGTTTGACAGTATCTATTTTCCATATTGTACTTAGATTGGCATTTACCATATTTCTCCTCTTTAATTATTTAGTAATTGAGTCCCCTGTCAGCCATTCCATTACTTTGCTCCAGATCAATTTCAGACTGATGGGACTGTAATTATCTAGGTCATTAAGTTTATCCTTCTTAAATATTAACACAACATAAGTTTTCTTCCAGCTTTCTGGAACTTTCCCAATTGTTCCAAGACTTGGCAAAAAGCAGTAATAACAATAGATTCCAGTCAGCTATTTAACAACTCCTGGATAGTAATCATCTGAAGTTTTCTACGCAAATATTTTCTTACTTCAGAAGCTTCTATTTAATGTTTTTCTTTGTTGATATGTTGTTGTTGTTGTTGCCTGGTAGTTTATCATCCTCATAGAACATCACCAATTGTCTGTTTTTTCCTTAAACACCAAATACAAATATTTATTGAAGACTTCTTTCTTGTCTTCATTAATCTTAGCAAATCTTCCACTACAATCTGATAAAGAACTGGTACCATTGTCAGGATTCCTAATGTATTTGAAAAATACTGTCCTTAATTTTATGGCCATAAATTTCTTGTCGGCTACAATTATTGGAAGAATTATTATGTAATTCCTTACTTCTACTCTGTATTCAGTGTTATCAACTTTTTTCCTTCATTTCGATGATTTACAATTATGTAGAGGCTTTCATTACCCCCTTGAGCTAGATATTTTTTTAACACATACAGCTTTCCTAATTTTGCAGCTATCAAATAGAGTATTTGTATTTTCCAATTATTGACCAGTTCTCTCTCATAGCTGATTTTCCTTTACAGTAATTTTCAGTTTGGTAAAAAGATTGCACTATCCGTATTACTGCTTGGGTTTCATTCTCTTTACACCCATAAAGAGCAATCAAGCTATTATCATAACCACTAATATTTAGTTCTCTTATCAAGTCCTATGATCTCTTCATTATTTGTGAAATGAGATCTCACATAAAATTCTCATTTTTTGAGCTTCCCTTTTTGGGTTAAGAAATGTTTGTACATGACGTCCAAAAATTCTGCAGAGGTTTTAGTACCAGTGTCATGAAACCTTAGGCATGTGTCAGGCAGACTGAAATCTCAGATGATAGCACAGCTTTTTTGCTCCTACACATTAGAGAAGGTACAAAGGCATCCAGTCATCCTGCTCTCTTCTATGATTTGGTGATTTGCAGCAGCAGCTACTATCCCATCTAGTGTTTTATCCGTTAGAGTATTGATCCACTGCATTCAAGAGCATTTGCTTCTGAGCTGCCAGTGTCCTCAAAACATATGTCTCTTTTCATAGAGTTCCGCTCTTTTTCCCCCTACTCTCTGCTTGATCTTTCCAAAATAGGTTATAAGCATTGATTTTAATGTTCCAGTTATGCAGTTCTTCCTATCTATTGCCAGTAATACCAGCTAAACTGAATTTATAAATAAGTAATTCTGATTACTTTCCTTTTTTACCCAGACTCCTTAGTACTGCTTTATAGAAAATCTACTACTTTTATATCCTTGACTAATTTTGGGTTTGCTATCTTGATTTCATGCTGAATGACGACTAACTTCCTTTTCTGTTTGGTTGTATTTGGTTTTTTTTACATCAAATCCCTTTTAGCATTCATTTTCAGCCTCTTCCATAGCAGGCTGTTTGCCTTTGTACTGAACAGGAGACCACTCAAACTGTGCCATCCTTTCACTGGCATCAAAAGGCAGATGCTCCATGTTCAGAATCTTTTTTCCTGTCTTCCTACATTTGCCAGCCAAGCATCCTTGAGGATCATGCAGACATTCTCTTTAAGCAACATTCAGGGTTCCTTAAACTTGTCTAAAATCTGTGAGACAACCACCTGTGAAGCAGAGTCACTAATGTTCAATGTGTAATCACTGATGATCCTTGCTCTCTGACACTGGACTGTTCAATATTAAAAACATACCTCGAGCCCAGGCTGTGCAGGAACACTGGACTGTTACCTACTTTTCCTTTGCAAAACAATCTTTCTGATGATTTTTGTACCTCCAGCTTTTTCCCAGATTGGTTTGGCTATGATCCCTAACTGTCCATTTTTGAAAAACACTTCTGCTTCTGGGGGATTCTGAAATTTGGGCAGGAGTGAATCAGAGATGGGGGAAGGCTGTCTGTTTGCAGATTAAAATGTAGGCTGTTCTAACACATCTGTTTGAGCCCTTCTTTTTATTGTTCCACAGAGAAACCAGAGCTCCATAGGCAGCCTAGTCCCTCGGCTAGCAGCTCCCATCTCTCTCCTGGATTGGCAGAATTTGGGAACTACAGAGTCTAGGTTCTGAGACAGTATGTAAATTGAGCAGAGGAACTGTCAAAAAAATGAAACATTAAGAACTGGCTTGTTTTGTTAGAAGATTGATCAAAATATCCATCTTTCTATGGGACGTTTAAATGACAATCAACTAGCAGTCTTCACTGGAAAAAGCAGAACATTCTACAGGAGAATTTCCAATCAACTCTTCTCCTGCCCAGAGGAGAGCTATCTAAATTAATTGTCTTTGACAGGTGAGGTCTGTCCTCATCTTGGTACAAGAGATAAGTTACTGGTTACAGCACATCCGGGTAAACTTGCACAGCTTTTTAATTACAACAAAAGCATTTATCACTAATGTCTTGTAAACTAAGTGTCAACAGTGTTTGGATTGAAGTTGCCTGGTCATGGGGTTTGATGACTTTAATAGAAATTATGAAACATTGTCCTGCATTTTATGATCAACTTTTCCTTCAAACCCATTCTTATAGTGTCTATATTTCATCCAGCACTACTGCTCAGGCCTTGAAATAAGACTAATCAAATCCATTTGGTCTCACATTGCCTTTTTTTGTCGTAACTTCAGAAAAGATGTTCCGTTCATTGTCCTGACGCACTACAAGTTGCATTGCTTCATCAACTTAGAGCCTTGATTGATGAAAGACACTTGATATATGGTGATGTCACCTAGCAAAAAGTCTGATTGCTTCCTTGTTCTATGTATTAGTTCTGCAGAACTAGGAAGAGAGCTAAGCAAATGTATCCCCTGAAGACACCATATAGAAACTGGAAATCCTCCAGCACCAAACTTTGCAAGATATGTCCACATGGTACAGTGCAAGCCAATGCCATGCAGAGATACTCTTGCTGGCTTTGAATGAGCAAAGCATGTCTGCACAGAAATGTCATACAATTTGTTAGATTTTTGCAAGGAAAACATTTTAAGAATTGACAGAGCATAACCTCACAGATCTTAAATGTCTAGTTTCTTTGACTGTGAACAACAGGTTGAGTTACTTGGAATTGTGAATCCGTCTTCGTATTGTGATACTTAATTTGCATACATACACACAAAATAACATGATAGAAAGCTGGTACACTAAAACACCATAGATAAGTCACTGCCTTGGACTGTTTATCTGCAAGTGTTGTGTCAGGAAGCAAGACTGCAGAGTTCATACTTGAACAGCCAGGTGAAAGCTGTGTACAGTAAGCAACTTGAGATTATCAGATCATTGTGGAAGCAATTACTATGAACACTGCAATGATTTTATTTTCTGTTATTTCTTCAAGCTATCTTGAAAAACTCAGTTCTTTTCATCAGTACCTCAAAGATTCTTCTCAAAAAAAAAGTATGAAGCAGACTGACAGAGTTTCTGAAAGCATTTTCAATTACATGAAAGGAAGCAGTGAGAATTTAAGAAACACAGGACAAAAGAGTGAATATTTAAGTTAAGGACATTGAGCTATAACATCCCAGTGCTTTATGTGCCATACTTCTCATTGGCATCAATGGGAGCTCCTACTTCAAGCTTAGGACAGGACTTTATGTATCCACAAATGACTACAAGGCACAAAGAGGCCAGTCTTTTCCTGGTGCTGACGCCTTTGTTTTATTTTTCATGACATTTGAAGTGGCAACCAGCCCCAGTGATTGTTCGAATTAGTGTCAGAATGCACTTTTTTTCAGAGAAAGGAGGGCCAGGGAGTCAAACTGCATCATTTTTCAAGGGCAGATTTGCAGTCCTTGGGAATTTTAAAATCTGGATAGTACCGTATTGAGTGCATCAGTAGTGAACGGGATAATTTAATGGCACCTTCCGCTCTCAAGTATTTCTTTCCTTGAATAGATTATTATACAGCAAGGGTTGAAGATGCAAACCTTGAATCATGAAAGCATGTGTACATAATGAAGAGGTATTACAATGAATTATAAGCACTGGTAATAATTTAGGATCCAGAGGGCTTGTGACCTCTGCTTTTAAAAACATGCTTTAAATGTTATCATTCTACAGCACTGTCTTCACAACTCTTTATCTCCTAAATGCTTTTGGACACACAGACCATGGGATTAATTATATACTGCAAGCAACAATTCATGAATATTTAACACACTCATTTATACTTAATGAATAAATTTGCATTTTGACAGTGTTATTTAATGTGTTTTAAGGAAATACTTCTCATTACCTTTCAATTTTGTAGATTAGGAGAATGTAATTGGAATGATAAGGTAAGAGAGGGACTGCACGATTTCCATGCGATTGTTCGCACCATCTGTTCCCATAGGTTTTTGATGGAAGCAGGTGCTTGGGTTCTGGGGGGAACTTTCTGTGCATGTCGATGACTTCATCCCGGTCTGAGAGGCGAAGCTGAGGGTGGAAAGGCTGAGGCAGGAGGCAGCCTCTCAGCGCGGCCTCACCCTTGCACCTTCTCCAGGTGCCTTTTGGGGGCGGGACCTTCCCTGACAGTTTTCATTGGAGTAGAGAAGTGTCACTCTTGAAGAGAGGCACGGGATTGGCAGTTGCCATGGCCCTGGGGCTGCCCAGGTGTGTTGACAGTCTCCGGGGCAGCAGAGGTTGTTCTGGAAAGTTCCAGCCAGCCATTTCCAACCCAGAGCTCTGTCTGGAGAGGCTACAGGACAAGGGTTATCCTGGAAGAGCTTTCTTGGCCCGGGCACAGCTGGGGAGGACGGTGCCAGGGACGTGGCGCCTTAGGAGACATCATTACTTGACCTTCAAAGTTGTGTGCTGGAGCACTTCCATTTCTGCTTAACATCTCCCAGCAGCAGGAGCTCAAGGGTTCCAGGTGGGTGTTGTCCAGGGCTGTTCAAGGCACACCAACGCGCATGGCTCTGAGCTCTTGAAGACATCATATTCACATCATGTTGTGATTTGTTTCCTGAAGACCTGGTTCATACAAGAACTCTCTTTAAAAAGAAAGAAGAAAAAAAACCTTCAACCCCCCACATTTAAAAATGCAGTTCATCTTGCAGAAGCACCTCTGAGCTGACCTGTGTACATTTCAGCGTTTCGAAAGCAGGAGGTAAGAGAAAAATACCTTTTCATCTTTTTTGTGTTCTAAGTTTTTAAGCCTCTCTCATGGCTTGTGGAAAGGGGAAGCAGTAGGGAAGAGGAAAAACTTGGGGTTTGTTCTGTAAGCCGTTCTGATACGAAAAGTGTGTCATTTAGATTTCTAGGATTTCATTTGGTTTTCTGTTCTCAATGGTACTAAGTACTCAACCTTGGTACTTTGATGTCTTTGCTTTGCCTTTTAAGCATGTATTTAAGCAACTCAAGTGTTTCCTTAGGGGTAGAGATGCTTTAAAGATTTCTCAGATAATACAAAGGAATAGTTTCAAATAGTCAGACATAACAAGAGAATTGCCCAGGTCTTGATGGTCTCGGATATGTCTGTACTTAACAGCGATGCACACAACAAAATATCCCACAGGTTTCCTGTATTTAATACGAAGGGTTGATTTTATAAAGCTGTTTAAAAAATTGCTTACCATTTGCTTCTTTAACAAAGTATATGCATTGTTTCTATTTGTCATTTTGAAGTGCCATATGGTGGCAGATACTAATCCACAATATGTTACCACAGTTCTCTCTGATCACTCTTGAAAACAATGTAATTACCCAAATGGTGACTTGACCTTTCATTCAGTTTTAATGGACTGTTTTCTAAGCACACTTCTAATCAAAAAGAATTGCATGGAAAGTTATTGTTGAAGTTGGCTACATAAATCTTGTCTGGGAAGGGAAAATCTTCAGGCCTGAATCAGGCCACCAGCTGTCTGTTCAGCACCCAGCTTAATGATTTCTTGATTCTCACAGGGGGGCTATGGAAATAGCTTTGAAGTTAAGCAAAACAAAGATTTGAAATATAAAAACTGTGTCTGTATCCTCTGGGCAGCAATGTATAAGCAAAGCTTTGCCATACTCATTGTCCTGGGGGAATATTCCTACACAATATTAATAGAAGCGGATGTACAAACAAAGCTCATATCTGTGTTTTGGTGTTCTTCTGTTTTACATTTTATGAGGCTTGAAATCTTAAGATACTATTTTGACTGCCTTCAGCATGCTAAAGGCCGATGATTTGCACTTAGTGATGTAACATCACTGTACATCTCCATATCAAAAATTATCTTGCAGTTTGTCAGAGACATAAAGTATTTCTGGTTTTAATATATCAAAAGATTCTAAGCTTCTGGTGGAATGCATGGGGCAAATATAGGTGGACTTCCTGCAACTCTCCTTTTTACTTCATCTAAAACACAGAAGATTTGTCAGGGCCAAGAGAAGGTATGTGTAGGTCAATTGTCTCCCAGAGAAGGCTTGCAACCATTCTGCGTGTCTCCAGTAAGTGCTGATGGGCTCTGTCACAGGCTTGGATATGCAGGTGCTGCAATGGACAGCTGCAAAACTGTCCATTCCTCCTGATTGGGAAGAGGTTCTTTTAGTATTTAGGAAGAGAGGTTTTAGCCCTGGTTACAGGTTTTTCTTCCTGCTTTGGTCACAGAAATGGTTAATAATGTTGAAAACGTTTAAATCAAAGAAACTTAACATTCATTCTTGAGTAAATGGTTTGCGTGTCTTACCCTTTTATTCTGGAATTTGATAACCTCCCTGGTTTTTCCCTCAAAACAGTTTTCTGCCTGGAATGTGAAGTGATCTGGACTTAACATACTGCCTTAACCATTCTATCAGTAGCAGTAAATCCTAAAATTTCTGGGAATGGCAGGATTGAACCCTTAGTTCCTAAGTATATTTTGTAAGATATTTGTTGCTGAAAACATATTGCTTGCCCCTGTTTTGATATGGCATGAAAGCAACAGAAGTCCTATCTTTAAAACTGTTTCCACTGGGAAATCTTGTGTTTGTGGATATGGTGACTGATTACATGCATCACAAAACAAAAAATGCATAACTGAACAGTAGCAACTGTCTGAAAATAATCTATCATTTCAAACAGTTGAAGGCCCCAGTGTGACAAGTCACCAAGTATTTAAACACTCTTCATTTGATCAGGCTACATACTAACTAGATAAAAGGTACTAGCTATAAAGACGTGAAAGAATAAATTTAATTCCTCCCATGCCATACCTTTGAGTATGCCTAAAGTCATGTTTGATACAGGTACAATGGGCACTGGCTTAGATGCCATCAGACCCCAGTACGCCCAGTTGCCAGTATACTGGTTTTCTCCAGTATTAAAGATTTAAAACTTCTGGAAACCAAAAGATTATTCAGGATAGATTAAGTTTGCCTTCTTACTTTGGTGATCCACATTTACTTGTCTAATTTAACTCAATAATATTTTGCCTGAAAATGTATGTGACCTGGGAGATGAAAAGCCTGTAACTTTTCCTGAATTTTATTCCAGATATATGTTTCTGCTGAACAAGTAAGCAAATTGTATTCAGATACATGAGAAATTCATGCAACATGATTTTCCAAAGCAGTGCTACTCACATCCAAATTATACAAAACCAGTATGTTCATCACTTAGAATGCATGAGGAATAGCTAAAATCAAACTCGTTGGCTATAGGAATCAAGACTGGGGGGCAGTATTTAATTGACTCGGAGTCAGACGTGTTTCTTCTGTCAGCAACACAAGGTAACTTTTCAGAGACACAGAAGTCTCTCTCATTTGTATCTTGTGCCTAGGATCTTTAAGACCCATGGAAATTTTCTTCTCTGGAGCATTCTTTCTTCCGCTGCTATATTTCCTCTGAACAAGACATTGCTCTCGTGCTATTAATGTTAATGAGAGTACTAAAATCTCTCAATAAGAAAATGCTTGACTTAATAAAGGCATTGCCATTTCTGTCCAGGATCAGCTTGATTTCATATGCAGAGACTTCTATGGACAGTTTTACAAATGCTTTTATTAGGCCTGGACAAGCGTCCTCTGGAAACCCTATGCTTTCAGGGCACAGTATGAATACTGGAGTCAGGCTATTTGGAAAGATAACACAGTAAAAGTTTTACTTCAAAATTCTGTATATTATCTCAACCTAAAAATGTTGACACCTGAACAGAGCAAGTGCTGATACACTCATTTAGAACGAAATAACTAGACTTGCCTGAGCTTTTGAAGGTTATGTGACTGCATCTCATTTCACTGATATAAATAAAAGCTGAAGTTTCTTGTTACCCCGTAAGGCCACTCATGCCATTGTCTTCCAGATTCATTTGAAGATGTTGTCTTTGATCTAGAAAGCTAAATAGAGTGAATACTTAGAAGAAGCTCTTGTCAATATGGTTTCTGTACTTACTGCTAGTGATGGGATGTAAGCCACAAGTTCTGGGAGTAACAAAGTCTAATTAGCAATGGGTTTGTCCTCAGTGGTCTGCATTTCTCCACTGATTAAACTCCAGATTCCCCCATGTCCCTTAAAATCCTTATACTCTGTGGCATCTCTGTGTCCACTTGTCTTTTTCCACACTTTCCCTATTCCTTTCTTGTGTCTGCAGATGCACTTTCTACTGGAGTAACTTCTGAAGATAGCTTCAGAGCTCCTTCCCATATTCTTTGCCAACCTCTGCGCCATCTGATGGTGAAAGGAAGTATGCTTTGGCTGATTATAGTTATGTGTAAATTTCTGGTGGAGTTAATAAATGTGTACTGACTCCCCTGTTTGCTACTTCCTTGCAACCTCTGGGCAAATGAGAGACAATTTAAACTGCTCCTGCCTTTCCTACATGCAAAGCGCTAGTAGGGGCTCTTTCCTATTAGTTAGCTGCTGAGCTTCATGAGACTTCAGTTTTTCTGTGAAATTAGTTTTAAATTACCCAGTAAAAAACAAAGTTAATAATCGGAGGCAGACAGACTTGCAAGCAAGCAGTGTCTATGATCATGTAAGCTTCGATTGCAATGGGTCATTAGGGTTAAACAAAAAAAAAAAAGGGAAGGTGGAGGCAGTGGCTCACCATTCCTATGGACATCTTTCTGAACTTTCAGGACAAGATTGTTTGTTTCCCCTTTGGTCACAGAGACAGGCTGAGGGCAGGCAGCAAGCGAATTTTGATGAAACTATTGGAAGGTTGTATCACATTTTGCTTTAGGTGTCTTTCTTCCTCCTATCTGATCATATGGCAAGTCTTAAATAATTTGTTTTTTTTTAAGAGGTTGTCTAGGTGCCTGGAGACGTCTAAATTTTGATGTATTAGTACTGGAACAATAAACCAGAGGTAAGAATAAAAGTGTGCAGGGAGATTTTGTGTAATAAGAAACTATGGAAAGATACTTGGAGAAGTCTGGACTGACAGTTGATCTGGAGGAGAGGAAAGAAAAGAGCAGCCTGACCTTTCTGAGCTGCCCTTAGAAGAGGTCAAAAGAATGAAAAAATAATGGCAGCCTTCAGTCTGGAAAAGGGCA